GGAATATAATTACAACGGTCGCTTGGCAGTATATCTTATACCTACTTTATATTATCATTTAAAGGAGTACACATTGTTTCGTAAATAAACGAAAAATGTATAAGAAAAAAAGCTTGCCAAGTCAGAGATCCGCATGTAAACTTTTTTGATTTTTAATTTTTAGAAATGTATTAACTGATATCACACCCAAGAGGTATAACAATTTGAATCCAGAAAAATGTCGGTGTGAAAGGCCCCATAAAAAATCATTTTCATATTCATTTAGTGAGACAGATCTCCGAAACCGGAGAGCGGATTTCGTTGTTTGTTGTCTTGTTAGACTCACATTGGTTAGGAGAAGTGCAGTGAAGATTTTCAGAACTTTATCTTTAATATTTCATTCACTACAGAACATTAAAGAAAATTAAAACAAATTTTATTGGGCGTTTTTTAAGTTTTTCAGCTTTACAGCTTTGTAGTGAATTAAAGATTGAAGATAAAGTTCTGAAAATCTTCACTGCACTTTTCCAATGCGAATCTAACAAGACCCCAAGCAACAAAATCCGTTTTCAAGCTTCGGAAATTTACCTCGCTAAAAGAAAATCTAGTAAAAAATAACTCTTTTTTTTTATCTGTGAAAAATTAAATATTTAAAAAAAAAAAATTTAATTCCACACATATTATCTAATTGATAATAACTTTTTAATGATTTATCAACCAACTTTCTAGCTATCATAGTTCAGGAGAAAAGTTACAAAATAGAAATGTTTTGACTGTTCACGCCCACGTTTTTATGGATTCAAGTGGTTATGCAGTTTGGGTGTGATATCAAATCTCTCTCATTAATATTAGATTCTGAGTGGAACGATGAATGTATTGATTTTACAATGATGTGTGTTTTTTTATTTATTTTTTTATTCATTTTTTATTTTTGTGTCTGTCATCACCTTTTAGGACAGTAAAAGTGCTTGGATTTTCTTCAACGGTATCTTTTCTGATAGGAAAGTGAATCTAGTGACTAGCTGGTATTTTGGGGGGTCAAAAGTAAAAATTTCCCAGTAGTTTTCAAAAGTGTTGGGAAAACCAACATACAAATTAAGGAAAACAGGGAATTTTTACGCCAAATCTGTTTTCCAGAAAATCGATTTTGGGTTTTGATGTAACTCTAAAACAAATGAATGTACGAGTATATACAATATACATGCAACTTTCACTGGTTGTTTATATTTGCATTTTCTATACATGATAAAATTTTCGAAATATTATGATTTGTTTTGAACTGTTCAGGAACATTATATTATATTTATATTAGAATATTTATATTAAATCTAGCTAAATTACTCACCTACTCATCATTACTGAGTTACATTTTTATTATTTAATCATTTAACACATATTCTCAAAGTTCTCAAAATTCAGACTATTTTCATTTTAATTACCGTACTTACTTGATTAAAAATTAACCGATATTGAAAGTGAACACGTTACAAATCAAAACGTATATTTATTGTAATTTTGACAGTAAAAAACAAGCATATACATTATATTATTATATGTCTGTGTGTGCTTAAATTAATTGATAAATTAATAGCTAAAACGACGTGGCGTACTATACTGCAACGAGCACAAATACACAAACTGAATCACATACGTATTGTACATATTATATATGTTCTTTAATATATTATGGCGTTTCTGTAATCGTATCATATTATCAGATATAATTTAAAAAAAAAAAAAAAAAAAAAAAAAAAAAGCAGGTAAGTGGATGTCGCTCTGCTGTACAGTAAGTTACAAGTGGTTGACTGTAATTGATTGTGTTAAATATGAATTAAATGATATATTATCATTGTATACAAAAAACGATTCTGAGTAGAGACGGTTTGTTAGTCTAAGATATTTTATATTAGATTTATATTGTTATTATTAATCTACGTGGAACCATGTTTTAAATTTTCAATAAAATTCGTTATTACTTTTTCGAATAACAACAAAATAAGAAAATCACTTCATGAGAAATTGAGCAAATATCCAGTGTTGTAAACATTGGAACTTCAAAAGAATTTAATTTGACTCTCCAATAGACATGTTTTTGTGATAAAGGTAGAAAAACTTACGAGCAATCTTGTTTTAAATTTTTAAATCTTAGATTTAAAAAGAAAAATTTTTATGAATTTCTAATTCAAAATAATTTGCATATTTTCGTTGATAATTACATATTTTGTCGAAATTCAAACTTTAAATGCTTATAAAAAAAATATGTGACCAAGTATTAAAATACCTGTCTATGTAACAATATATTTTGAGCCTTGTATTCAATTTTCAAACTTTTTAACTCAACTCAATGAATTTAATTTTATTGAAATTTATAGAAAAAAACTGAAGAAAATTAGAATCTGGAAATGTCCGCAAATAGCTCAAAACAAGTCAAAATATTTTGAAAATGTTATGGTGTATCTAAAATGCTAATATAAACATTCAGTGACAATGTTATGTATTTACGGTAATTTTGTTTTAGAGTTACACCAAAAACCAAAATCTATTTTGAGTACAAATTCCGGTTTTTCCTTAACTTCTCTTTGGTTTTTCCCGGCGCTTTTGAAACTATTACTGGGAAATTGTCATACCCCCCCCCCCCCAAAGTACCAACTAGATCCACTTTACTATCAGAAAAGGTGCTGTTGAAGAAAATCCAAGCATTTTTACTGCCCTAATATCTGACGATAGGCACAAATTGAAAAAAAAAAATGTTTCAAAATACGTCATTGCAATATCAATACATTCATCGCTCTGTATACAGAATCTTAAATAATGTGATGGATATAAATTGTAGTCATAAGAAAGGAAAAAACCAATGTAGTTTTAAAATAAATGTTAGTATTCCTTTTATGTATATTTATTATTTATTATAGTAAGCCAACTTAAGATTTAGAAAATTAAAGTGTGATATTAGAAGTTGGTATAAGTACTTCAATCGTATATAATATCAAAGTGAAAAGAGGAGTCACTTCTTGGAACCCTTCTCATTCACGTAAACAAAACCTACAACGTTATAAGTTGTTATAAATTATAAAGAAATGCACACAAGCCCACGGTTTACGGATAATAATAATAATAATAATAATAATAATAATATGTACGTACGAAATACGAATATTTTTTAAAAGACGGCGTGATGTGTATGCAATTTAAATACAACATACTCCACACCAATTTATTCTATATTATTATTCAATAATATAACACCCTTAAAATTATAGACGAGTACAGTGGAAAATTTAGGGAGGGAAAGTCGTAAATCCCCTAAATGGAAAATTTTATAGGGGATCGTGGTCTGGACGAGGAGACTGACTCATTATAAATTAAGTGGAAAAAGGAAAATAACAATATTTATTCAATTTAACCTGAATTTTATGAAGTACCTCTACCTATCTAAAACAAAAACACACTGTAAAAATGTAATTATGTGTCATGTTAATGTTATTCGGTGGTGGGAGGTGAGCGACGGTATCAAATTTATATTTCACCCCGGCTCATATATTATTATTTTTAATGCACCACTGGACGAATACAACAGCGTTAATATATTATAATTTACGGTAAACAACCGAATCAAAGGGACCTCCTAACTAAATATAAACATGTGTTCACATTTTAAATCTCGACATTTACCAATTATAGCGCTATTATTTTGTATAACGAAAACTGTTGGTCGATAAATACTGTAAAATAACTGTTTAAGTTATTAATTGTTTAATGTTACAATATTATTATAATGTCAGCGGTGTTAAGATATAACACGCTCCGAGCATAATTTGATGTATGTCTGTCATTCGCCTTTAATAGTAATCAAACGCATGGCCATAATTTGAATATTGACCTGAGTCCCAAGATTTGTTACAACTTACAATTACACTCATTCAGGGGCGTGCTCAGCTTTTTCCAATGGGGGGGGGGATGAACCGTGTTTTGTTTTATTGATTATCATAGACACAAAATGTTCTTATAGGTATATACGTTTGTATTTTAGAAGTAGGTTGATATATATTATATTATATACATACCTACCTACTTGTTATTCTAAAATTATCACTGAAAACTTTAAAACTATATTATATTATATACATAAAATTCAAAATGTATTAATGTTTTATATATTCGGACATGTTAAATTTATGGGTCTAAAGACCTAAATTACAAATTCAAGTTTTCTTGGTTTCTTAGCCATTTCATCTAAGACTTCATCTGGAGTAACGCTTATATCTTTATGAACTGCCAATAGCGTTAATCCATTCAAACGGTCCTAAGATTCGCCATTCGGTTGATTATGAAACGTGTTTTATATTATCAAAAAAATAACAATAGATTGTGACGGGCACGCCGGAGCGGACTATTTTGGTTACATAATTACACAATAACATAATATTACCATTACTATAATACCAACCACGAACTAAGATATACTAGAAATAGCTAGATACGATAACTTAGTTCGTGGTACCAACTATATATATTTTATATCTTTGATAATTATTACATAACTAACAAATTAAAACCAATTATGCATTAGGTACCTTTTTTTTTTCGAAAAAAGCGAATCAAGCAAGAAACTCAAGTAAATGCATAAAAAAAAGTTCATGGGGGGGGAAATGACACCCTCATCCCCCCCGTGAGCACGCCCCTGCACTCATTGATTTGGTATAGTTGGTTACGTTTTAACCAGGTATATGTATTGATCGAGCTTATACAATACCTATATTAATATAATATGTTTATCACTCAGATAAAAACTATATACAGTGGAATCCGCTTATTGTGGGCAAACTGGTCTGGTCCCAATACAAATGTATATTAACAATGTTAAATCTAACCGCGTAATATGGGCACTCGATTCGGTTTATGTGGGCAATTTTATTTTATCATAGCGTTAGAATATACACATATGTATTTAAAAACGACTAATTTAATCGGATTTCGTCATATCTATAAGATTGTGTTTATCGAAAGTAATAAAAATCATTATGCCATTTATCCAACCCTTAGATATGGGTATTATCGAAAACCTCAAGGTGAGATACAGAATGAAACTAGTTCATTTTATTCTAGAAAAGATTGAGGAAAACCTGTTTGATCCATTTGCAACTGCTAATCAAATAAGTGGCAAAATAAACGTATTGCAAGCGATACAGTTTGTATCCGAGAGTTGGCGAGAAGTTAGCTGCTCAACTATTATGAATTGTTTCGCTCATTGTGGATTTTCTAATTTTATTGGTCCTCAACCTGAGTTGGATGAACAATTTTTGTTTGTTTAAAACCATAACGAATTTGAAAACATTGATGAAAATGTTCCCTGGAAATTTAATTTATATAGTAATTATTTTACTTTTTTTCAGTTATATGATAATAAAAATAAAAATTTTTTTGTATTATAATTTTTTTTTTTTTTTTTAAACTAATTTCAGTTTTTATGGGCAACCGCTTAATGTGGGCAGACAGAGCAGGTCCCAACGTGCCCACATTAAGCGGAATCCATTGTACTTCTAATAATTATACAATATCTATACAATTATTATCTATATTATATTATATAAAAATTAATGTTTGTCTGTCTCTCTGTGTGTCCTTTATATGCATTCCTAAACGGCTGGACCCATTTTGAAGAAATTTGGTACAGAGATATATTAGACCTCTGGGCAGAAGATGGGCTACTTTAAAAAGGGAGAGGACCAACCCCGGGAGGTGCTCAAACAGGGATTTTGAGATTTAGGATAGAAATTTTTGTTTATAAATGGTTGCCATGGGTTTTAAATAAAACATAATATTATTCATATAGAGTTGGCATTTTAATGGGCAACGAAGTGCACGGGATCAGCTAGTATTACACTTGGCGGTATTATTGGGTACCTATTGAATGGGTATATTAACTACCAAAATAACTACAGTTCAAGGGTGTTATCAGTGAAGGAGGCCGCAGAATGCAGAATTACGTGTAAAATGCATCGGGGTCTCGAGGCTGAGGTTGTTTTAGGGGCCCTCAGGTTGAAGTCCTAGATTTCACAAGTTATATATTTTATTTATTTTATTAATAGCATAGGCTAGTAGTCGAAATTTGACATTATAATAATCACATTTACATATTGGTAAATACTAAATTTAATATTATGTAATATGTATAAAGTTATGAGGAAGAGAAAAATGGTTCTATATTGACAATCCGGAGTATCCTTGTAAGGGGCTCATTAGCAGCGTATATTGTGGTACCTACCTACAATTGGAACATAGAGGATTATAGTTCTATATTCCGTGATAAAAATGAAAGGACGTTGAGTTTAACGTAACCAACTTAGTAATAATGGCTGACAAATCATTTTCACGCATAATCGTTTTTTGTATGGAATGAATTATCATTTTTCAAATTTAACACATTGCATAATACAGTGACTTAGGTACTCAATGATGAGATAGGTACACTCGACCTCGACACCTACTGTATAGGTACATACTTAAATTTTTTCTGAAAGATCTGGAATTGAACAAGTTTATGGAGAGAAATGTCAATTGCTTAAAGATATAAACAATTTTAAAAAAACCTTTGAAAAAAATACCAAAAAAAATGGACTAGGAGAAAGGATATGTTGCAAGGACTAATGCAACAAAAGGTAAATATTTTAGATTTTTTTAATATTTGGAGTATGTAGTATCCGTATGTACCTTTGCATTACAATTTTTTAACATTTTGTGTAGGTAGATACGTTGACATATTATGTCATAAAATAATAATTAGAACAATAATTGTATACCGGGTGCAACAGGAAGACCTGACAAAATAAATTGATATTTTCAAAAATTCTAAAAAATAAACTACACGACTTAGATCAATGTTTTTACCATAAAAATTGTTCTTATAATCAGTTTTACAAATTGGCTATTTTTTATTTTCATTATTAAAAAATAAATATTTTTTTTATATAATACGTGTAGAGCAAGTGACTTTAAATTATATAATTATATAATTTTTTTTATATTTTAAATAAAAAAAAATTTAAAAATATTAATTAGAAAAGTTATTTCTTCTGTCAGGTCTTCCTGTTACACTCTGTATACCTAACATAATAATTTATTACAATTTATTATAATATACTGCAGTGGTGTGGTGAGCATATTTCAAACCAAAGTAGCAACGTATTTAAACAATGACCCATCCACTCCCTCCTACTAAATAATATATAATTTAAAGCTGTATGTTAATATAGAATTTTTGCTATAGAACGTCATCAATAGTTTACTATAAAAAAATACTTTAGTTCTTAGTTCAATATAAAGTATTAACTATAATTTTCGACTTGTTAACATAATGAATAGTGATTTTATTTCATGTTTTGTCACAAGTATGTTAAACAGTTAATCCGGATTGCAGTGAATATATTATTAATTATGATTATGATATTGAAGGAAGTGAAAATGTGGTTACTGAATTAAATAACATTGTTACCAGTATGTGTTCATATCTCATGAATATACAACTATAGGCCCTATTAAATAAAATAAAATGTATAGCTGACAAGAGACAACCTGCAAGAACCACAAGATAATATAATAGTAATAATAATAATAATAATAATAAAAATATCAATTATTATGTTTATTGTTATTCGTTTGACGTTTATTGACTTTTTGATATAGACATATTATATAGATGGCTATTTATCGATTTGTTCGGATGGAAGTATTTCAATAGGCACTGTCGCTCTTTTTGAATGTTGACATAAGTATTTAAGTCCTTATACGTACGATGATGATAACTATATTTTATATTATCAGATTTTTTTTTATTTGTATCCTTATTGCTTTTGGACAATATTTTAATTGGATTGATGTGTATTATTTTTACTTTTGAAGAAGAAAATCATGGCCTAAAGGCGGATTTTATTAGGTACAAAAGATTTTATGGCTGAAGGAGTTGTGTGTGATCGTTCTATTTTAATTGCCGATGTATAGTTATGTCTAAACCGGAAGCAGATAAGCAATATTGCATTTATGTTTTTAACTTTAAACACAGGCACGTAGCCAGAAAATTTCTACTAGGGGGGCCAATAATGTTTGGCCCTTTTATTACTTTCCAAAATTTTTCTTTATGAAATTCTTGTAAGGGGTATGCAATACAAAGAATCTTATTAATTTAAATAATTTACCTTTAGTTGGTAATTGGTTAAAATTATTTTTTTCACAACAAGTTATACCTAATACTTACTTATTTAAGAATTACAAAAATAGAAAGTACCTGATAACAAAAAAAAAAAATAAATATAGAATTACCTACATCTTCACTTATGGGATACATTTTTCATGCTATGAAAAATAAATCTACATACATATTTAAAATAATAAGCTGCTTCAATTGTTTAACTTCAAAAATTAATTCATATTTGAATACTATCAAAAATAATAGAGATAAATTATCATCGATTTTTAAATTAATATAATTTTTAAAGAAACTCAAATTTATTAAAAAAAAAAAAAACACATACTAGTAGAAAATATTAATAATACACTTATACTTATATAAATATTAAACAGTGCAATATAAAATAATTTTTCTGTTTTTATGATTTTCCGAAAACAATTGTACAAAAATATCTAGATCTAAGTTTTTAGAATTTTTTTTTTTATGCTCATTGAAGCTAAATTATTTAAACGATCATTTGTCATGCGATTCCTCAGAAAGGTTTTCAGTCGTCTCAGACATGAAAAAGTTCTTTCGCAAGCTAACTTAGCATAGACTTATAACTGCGGTTAATATATTATTGTTTTTAAAAAGGGTATCAAGACCCTATTATATTGTATTTTTTTCAGATAAAGTTATCCACGGTTCCCCGAATATAATAATTAAATTATTACAATAATAATTGTATTACCTAATAGTAATCACAATAGATTTCTCTCAATGTGCATAATCACATTTTTGATAATTGGTAAAAATAATTATATTTTGAATTTGGGGGGGCCGGCCTTGGGCCAGAGTATATTTAGGGTGGGCCCGGCCCACCCAGGCCCCCCCTGGCTACGTGCCTGTTTAAACATAATAATTATCAAATAATATCAAATTGCTGTATTTAGGTCCTTAGCACGATACAACATAATTATACTGAAATGTTGCCAAAGTTAAGACCTCGTAACATTAAATCATATTAAAAAGACAGTCGACGTGTCTCACAGCCGTCAAAGGTAAAAAAAAACATTAGCTAAAATAATATGTGAGTTGAGTTCAGGTGTCCAAGTCATAGGGCATCCTTTTTCGAGGGCGTATTCAAGGCATTTCTTGCGGTTCTCCACCCAATCATTGATGTAAGTCCCACAGTAAAACTCGTACCCAGGTACCCTCCCCAGAGGCGCCGACTTTTAGATATTAGCGCGGGGGCAAACTCTTCTATTAAGCGAAAAAAAATTCTATAGTATCAGTATGCTGTAGTTTGCTTACCGGGAGGAGTAATTACAAAATTGTCCCTTAACTCTATTTTAATACTCCTCTAGGGTGCAAAATAAAATATTATGCATGTATATTATTTAAATTTTCTTTATTGCTTTTATTTTTTTAAAATTAAAAGTCGAGCGATCTATAGTATTTATAGATCATATTTAGGTAATATACAAATATACAATCGTCGATGTTCTAATGAATATTTTCATGTTATAATTTGGTATTTTAACTAAATAATTATTATTGTACACAACGGGGCACGGGGGCGAAATAATACTTTTGCCCCCGTTAAATCAATGTATGGGGGCGATCGCCCCCTTTGCCCCCGTGGAGTCGGCGCCTATGACCCTCCCTCGTGGGTGTACTTGTATTTAAAATGTACATTGGCCGATATGGAGCCGAACCACTGACTAAGATAGAGTCGAACCAGCTCGTAAAGCAGGCAGTCCACGTGACCGTTCAACAGGGAGCTGCTCTTGTCGCAGGGACACCTGTTCTCGTAGGCCTTAGATTAGGGCGGGTGGTATTTCAAATGTCGATACCGGTATCCGGTAATTGCTTACTACCGATATCTACGGTATTACCGTACCTTGGTAATTACTGAAAATACCATAACCTCGGAAAATGTATTAGTTTTTAAAAGTTTCCAATCTAGGATAGGGCTATTATATGACGTCATTACGATTATATAAAAATAATAAAAAATAAATGTAGGTATACGGTATTTTCGGTAACAACGATAATTATTACCGATTCACGGTATACCGGTATTCTAAAATACCGAAAATAACGCCACCCCTACACTTGCACACTTATACACAGTTCTTGTCTAGT